CGGATTTTGAAAAGATAGAGTTATATTTTCGCATTTGTTTTTCAAACTGGTAATTTCAAGACGACATACAATCAATTCAACCTTAAAAGCTGCGCTGTCGCAATTATTTATCTGGAGCTACTGAGCCAGAATGTCGCAGCTTGAGAAAAGCAAAATTGTGTAGGAATTTTAGCGCATAGAAATACTTGAGGCAAAAAATTGAGTGTCGCCATTCCGACGCAAAACATCGTACTTCTCACAAAAAGTAGCATTAATGCATGTAAGTTTGCAAAAAGGAAGGCAAGCGATACTTGCGGTAGTAATAAAGCGATAGTCGTGTTGGGAGCCAGAAGGGGAATGGGAAAGGGAGATGAAGTTGTAAAGGAAGAGAACAAATAAAAAATTCACCATATACCTCCCATATCCCCCTTCCGCTCTTCTTCCGTCATTTAAAAAAAAAACGAAAAAATTACCTCCTACTGTGAGTGTGCTTTCCTTTCCTTTTCAAAATCCTCTCATTTTTCTCTTGCGAAACCACTTGATGTGGATTAATTTCAGATCAATTATTGATTGTTCTCCAGTTAAAGTCGACGTTGTGCAAACATATTGCCACGGATCTATGAATGACAATTCAGTTGGGGAATTCACTTTCCTGTTCCAAGTTGGTTCCTTTACGAGCAAGTGCGAATGACCCCTGAAGATTTGTGATCTTTTCTTCAGGATAAGGGCATTGGTATTCTCAATGGCTCTCCTCTCTCAATGGGCCTTCTGACAGAACAAGGACCACCTCCATGGCATCCGGCACCGGATTTTATCAAAGAAGCAACTTTAGCTGCTACTCACTACTGCATGGTATGTGATGATTGTAAGTCTTTGGACATCGAAAGTTCCGTTCAGCGACAAACATCAACATACTGCAACTATTTCCTTAGCTTGTACTCCTACTCAGTCCTTCACATATATTGTATAAAATAAGGCCTAATTATCCTACCTTCTCCGTATCAAACGAAATGTCATCGGATTACAAAATCTTCCCGCACATTCCCACCAAGGGCATGCTTGACTTATTAATGTGTAAAAGCATAAGAGATCTTTAACTAGGAAGATTTACTGAGAACAGACACAATTCATGGAACGTTATTTGCTCACGTATATAAACAGTCGCATAGCACTAAAGCGCCGAACACGCGCGCATGGTGCTCTCACAAGGATTTTGGGCTATGTGCGTGTCACAATACCGTGGCCATGTATAATTTGTTTCGTTCGTGATGTCTATGCATATGCTTATAGTGGTGCACTGCATAGGCGCGGCTCAAGCACTGTGATTGCATCTTGCGAGCGGGTTCGACATCTCAGTGCACGATTACGTGGTCCACCCCAATCAAAACAGAACGTCACTTGTGTAACAGATCATATATTGAGTTTGCACGGTCCTCCTGATTTTTTTCTGACGCTTCTTTCCATGTTTTTTTTTTCAAAACTCAAGAAAGAGCACTGTTTGACAAACAGTCTGAGCGGCTTCCCTGCTCTACAAAACCAATCTCAAATTTTGTTCAATACCTTTGAGCTGAGAAAGGGAATCTCAGGTTGGCAAGAACGCCATTTTCGACAGTGCTAGTGTATGTTTTTAACTGTGTCCAAAAAAATTCGCGAATTGGATATTATTGTTCTGCTTGTGGAAAAATGCTATATCCTGTTGCTCAAGGTGGGATCACATAGTTCTGTTGCTTTCAAAAAGTCCACGTTCCGGTATGCTTCCGAATCAGGCCTCGGCAGCAAGTCTCCGGAGGGCAAGCTGGAATTCGTTTTTGTGAAAAAAAAGCAAAGAGGAAATCGTATGGGGTCCATAGAGGTGCAGTTCAATCTCAATTATGACCGCTTTTTCCACAACAAGATTCTTCGCAGGGCCATGTTCATGCAGCGGCCTGAGTTCCTTCTTATTCAATACTTAATTCAGAGTAATTCCACACACCCTTCTAGACCGTTTAAAACATGCTCCAAGAAGGTTCAGTGTTTGTTTCAATGCGGGCGTTTGCGCGGGAAATTTAAAAGAGTTTCAAAAAATCTACGCAAACCCGTTTTTCTAAGCGAATAGGCATTGAACCACTAAATTTGGCTCAAAGATGCGCAACAAGGAGTAGAAGAAGTGTTGAAAAATATTTAAAATATTATGAGAATGAAAAAAATCGCCGTACCTTTTTCTGATTTAGGTCTTCCGCGGAGACCTACGGGAGACCTCAGGTCGCACCGCAATAACCAGATCGCAGCACTCTCTCCCTTCCTTGCTAGGACCCTAAATTGTTTCTCCTCAATGGAGACGCTCTAAGTATACGTCACTGCAGACTTGTCCTGATTGCATACGTTTGTAAGGTTACAAAGGGG